CCAGAGCTACAGGTAGTCGACTGACTGAAATTTCTACAACAAGAAGGAAAGAGAAAACCAGAAAGAAAATCAGAGGAGCTGAAAAAAAGCCTAAGGTACGGAGACATGCTGCGCGCGCCTGCCCGCCCGCACGCGCACGGAGAAGTCGCAGCCGGAGAGGAGGAGAGGGCGGGGAGCTGCCTTTCCTTCCCTAGCAGGAAGGAAATAAAACCCCCAGCCTGGGCTGAACCCCCGAACCGGCAGCGCTGAGCCCCCCCGAACCGGCAGCGCTGAGCCCCAGTTATGGGCCAGACCCTGGGGACCCAGGCTCCTGCAGGAGGAGACAGGGCCATGAGGCGGAAAAACGGCGAAAGGCAGGGCCCCGGGAGTCGCGCGCAATGCGCGCAGAGGACTGAATGTTGACTCTGATGCTGGGTTGCCCTAGCCGGAAAAAACAAGGCCTCCGGCGGCGCTGGGCCTCAGTCCGGACTGCTCCGAACCCCAGTTCTGGGCCAATCCCTGGGGACCCAGGCTCAGGCAGAGGAAGACGGGGCTGTGAGGTGGAGTCCGGGGAGAGCGGCAAAAGGCCGGGCCCCCGGGACTCGCGCAAACTGCGCGCAGAGGACAGTCTGTGGGACTCGCACAAACTGCGCGCAGAGGACAGTCTGTTGACTCTGATGCTGGACTTCCCTAGCGGGAAGGAGAAAAAAAAAAAGCTCTAGGCTGGGGGAACGCGGAGGGGAGCGGAAGCCCCTGCCGGACTCCAGCCAACCGGGCACCAGCAAGGAGGCGGGCCACGGGGCCCCTGGGGGCGTGGGTGCCCCTGAGCCTTTGACCACTGAGCTCGGGCAATGGAGCCAAGGCCGGGGGCTGCTTCCTGGGCGGCGCCGTCCAGGCAACAGGCTGAAGCAGCGCAGGAGCCCGCGGAGAACAAAGGGGTGCCACAGGCCAACCTGCTGAGCTCCCAGGACAAGGAGGAAGAAACCAAAGAAGTTCTCAATGTGAAGAAATCAAGTGAGAGCAAAAAATAGTAAAATTACTTAAGAAAGAATACAAAGAAGATCTTGAAAAATCAAAGACTAAGTCAGAACTCAACTCACCAGCCAACATTGCAACATAAATGCGTTTTAAAAAGAAAAAAAAAGGACAGAATGTTGGAACAGCGACGGCCAGGCCTAGAGTGGCCAGGCACAAGGCAGTGGCAGCCAGACCCGGAGCAGCAACGGCCAGGCCCCAGAACAACAGCAGCCAGAACCAGAGCATCAACAGCCAGCACTGGAGTAGCCAGACCTGGGGCAGTGGCAGCCAGGCATGAGGCGGAGGCGGCCAAGCCCAGGGTGGCCAGTCCAGGAACACCCAGACCCGGAGTGGCCGGGCCTGAAGAAGCCGGGCCCAGAGCAGCCGGGGTGGGAGCAGCCAGACCCAGAACAGCAGTAGCCAAGCCCAGAGCATCCAGGTCGGGAGTGGCCAGGCTCGGAGCGGCCGGGCCCGGGGCAGCCGGGCCCAGAGCAGCCGGGTCAGGTGCGGCCAGGCCCGGAGCAGCGGCTGCCAGGCTGGGAGCAGCCAGGCCCGGGGGAGCAGGCGGGTCGGGTGCGGCCAGGCCCGGAGCAGCGGCTGCCAGGCTGGGAGCGGCCAGGCCCGGGGGAGCAGCTGGTGCTGGTGCGGCCAGGCCCGGAGCAGCGGCTGCCAGGCTGGGAGCGGCCAGGCCCGGGGGAGCAGGCGGGTCGGGTGCGGCCAGGCCCGGAGCAGCGGCTGCCAGGCTGGGAGCGGCCAGGCCCGGGGGAGCAGGAGGGTCGGGTGCGGCCAGGCCCGGAGCAGCGGCTGCCAGGCTGGGAGCGGCCAGGCCCGGGGGAGCAGCCGGGTCGGGTGCGGCCAGGCCCGGAGCAGCGGCTGCCAGGCTGGGAGCGGCCAGGCCCGGGGGAGCAGCCGGGTCGGGTGCGGCCAGGCCCGGAGCAGCGGCTGCCAGGCTGGGAGCGGCCAGGCCCGGGGGAGCAGGCGGGTCGGGTGCGGCCAGGCCCGGAGCAGCGGCTGCCAGGCTGGGAGCGGCCAGGCCCGGGGGAGCAGGCGGGTCGGGTGCGGCCAGGCCCGGAGCAGCGGCTGCCAGGCTGGGAGCGGCCAGGCCCGGGGGAGCAGGAGGGTCGGGTGCGGCCAGGCCCGGAGCAGCGGCTGCCAGGCTGGGAGCGGCCAGGCCCGGGGGAGCAGGCGGGTCGGGTGCGGCCAGGCCCGGAGCAGCGGCTGCCAGGCTGGGAGCGGCCAGGCCCGGGGGAGCAGCCGGGTCGGGTGCGGCCAGGCCCGGAGCAGCGGCTGCCAGGCTGGGAGCGGCCAGGCCCGGGGGAGCAGCTGGTGCTGGTGCGGCCAGGCCCGGAGCAGCGGCTGCCAGGCTGGGAGCGGCCAGGCCCGGGGGAGCAGGCGGGTCGGGTGCGGCCAGGCCCGGAGCAGCGGCTGCCAGGCTGGGAGCGGCCAGGCCCGGGGGAGCAGGCGGGTCGGGTGCGGCCAGGCCCGGAGCAGCGGCTGCCAGGCTGGGAGCGGCCAGGCCCGGGGGAGCAGCCGGGTCGGGTGCGGCCAGGCCCGGAGCAGCGGCTGCCAGGCTGGGAGCCGCCAGGCCCGGGGGAGCAGGCGGGTCGGGTGCGGCCAGGCCCGGAGCAGCGGCTGCCAGGCTGGGAGCGGCCAGGCCGGGGGAGCAGGAGGGTCGGGTGCGGCCAGGCCCGGAGCAGCGGCTGCCAGGCTGGGAGCGGCCAGGCCCGGGGGAGCAGGCGGGTCGGGTGCGGCCAGGCCCGGAGCAGCGGCTGCCAGGCTGGGAGCGGCCAGGCCCGGGGGAGCAGGCGGGTCGGGTGCGGCCAGGCCCGGAGCAGCGGCTGCCAGGCTGGGAGCGGCCAGGCCCGGGGGAGCAGCCGGGTCGGGTGCGGCCAGGCCCGGAGCAGCGGCTGCCAGGCTGGGAGAGGCCAGGCCCGGAGCAGCAGCAGCCAAGTCCAGAGCAACTAGGTCGGGAGCGGCAGTGACCAGACCCGGAGCAGCTGGTTGTGGAATGAACCAGAGCAACAGAGGCCAGGCCCTTAGCAGCCAGGCCCAGAACAGCTCGCTCCTTGCCTGCCCCTGCCCCACGGCTGCTTCTCAGACATGGCTGGAAACTTTCGTGGGAACTTGAGGGTCTGCTGAATCAAGTGATGAAGGCTTAGATCTGGATGTGTTGAATTAGTTTAGGACTGGGGTGTTGATCTGTGAGTGCCTTGGGTGGGGCCTGGATGAGGCTGGTTGACCTAGTGGGAAATGTCTTTTGTGTGAAGTATATCATTGGGCATGTGGAGGTATTATTGATATGAGAAAATGCTAAGTAACTGATTTACTATCTGAAAAGGGATTTACTATTGGGGAAATTGAGGGAAGAAGAGACTGAACATAAACTGCACCTATGGATGAGGACAATGGGGGATTGGGGGGGGACGGAGGGTGGGGTGGGAACCTGGTGGATGGGGGAAGAAATGAGGAACCTTTGTAATAATATGAACAATAAAGATTGATTTAAAAAAAAAAAAAAAAAAAAAAAAAAAAAGAAATGATAAGGGATCAACAAGAAATAAAGAATACATTGTCTGAAATAAAAAATATTTTACAGAGTCCTAAAAACAGAAGGGAAGATAGCAAGAATCAAGTCAAAGATTTGGAACATAAAGAGCCAGAAGACACTCCTCCACAGAAGCTAGAAGGCAAGAGAATCCAGAAAATTGAAGATAATGTAAGAAACCTCTGGGACAACTTCAAGCGAACCAACATCAGAATTATGGGGGTCCCAGAAGATGAGAGAGAGCAAGATATCGAAAACATACTGAAAGAAATAGTGACAGAAAACTTCCCCCACCTAGGGAAAGAATTAGACTTACAAGTCCAGGAAGTGCACAGAACTCCAAACAAAAGGAATCCAAAGAGGACCACACCAAGACACATCATAATTAAAATTCCAAGAGCAAAAGACAAAGAGAGAATATTAAAAGAAGCAAGAGCAAAGAAGGTAGTTACCTATAAAGGAGCACCTATACGATTGTCAGTTGACTTCTCAACAGAAACCATGCAGGCCAGAAGGGAATGGCAAGAAATATTCAAGGTGATGAATAGTAAGAACCTAGAGCCAAAGATAATCTACCCAGCAAAGCTATCATTCAGAATCGAAGGTCAGATAAAGAGCTTCACTAATAAAAAAAAAGCTAAAGGAGTTCATCAACACCAAACCAGAATTATATGAATTGCTGAAGGGGGTTCTTTCAGAAGAGAAAGTAAATAAAGATAAAAATTATGAACAACAAATACGTAACTATCAACAAGTGAATCTAAGAACCAAGGAAATTTAAAAAAAATCTGATGAACAATATTAACTGTTGAATATAATAGAATCAGAGGTATGGAAGGGGAGTGAACTGACGATTCTTGGGAAAAAGGGGAGAGGGGGGCGTGGGAAGAGACTGAACATAAACTGTGCACCTATGGATGAGGACAATGGGGAGTGGGGAAAGGGCAGAGGGTGGGGTGGGAACCTGGTGGAGGAGAGCAATGGTGGGGGAGGGGGGAGGAACATTTGTAATAATATGAACAATAAAAACTTACTTAAAAATAAAGATAGTGTATAGGCAGATTTAAAAAAAAAAAATCAAAAGTTATGTTGGGCAAATAAAATGTTTTTCAAAGATGGAAGGTACTGGAGCTTGAGAACAATTCACTAAAAAGGAAGAAACTGATTCTACAGGAGTAGAGATGACCAAAAGAGCTAAGAAGGTGAGAGGGGATGGTGTCCAGGCATTTCCATTCACTGAGCAGAATAATCATGTATACAGCAGCCGTGGTTCCCCAAGGCAGCTGAGATAGTGAGAAGGCACAAAAGCTGCACCCAGGTAAGAGTCACATGGGGCAATGAAGAGTCACATGGTTCAAAAGTCTTCCCAAAAGCAAGAGGACATGGTTCTATTAGTAAGAATGGTCCCTGTGGCTTTGGCCTTGGGCTATGGTCCTATAAATTTAGAAATGACACTTACCTCATCCAACAACTTGTTTCCTGTTGGATCCGCCTTAGAAAGTTCTCGAAATGCTTCATCCCCCACAAAGCAAATTTCATGTCCATCCTACACCAAAAAGGACAAAAGAAATTTGGCAAACAGACACCTCGGAAGAAAGCCTTGGTGCAGCCTGCCCCTTCCTAAGGAACACTTACAGGGTCGGCCAGAATGACCACTTGTACTGTCGCTTTCCCAGGGGTATCCAGACTCACTAAGGGAGTCAGAATCTCCTGCTTCTCCCTTTTCATCAAGTCTTCTAAGTCAGGCAGCTTGAGGAAAACACAAAGAAAAAGTGAGCTAGGAATCCCGCACCATTGTTAGGCCATCATCCTCGCTGGCTCTAGAGGAACATCAGATCAACCAGAAAGAACCTCGGAGCCACTTGTCTGATTTTTCTTATCTCAGCCTCTTGAGACAACTGTTGAAGCCACGATCAGAATGAACCTAAAGAACGGGAGGCCCAAGGTTCTCAGCAGTTGAACTAATTATCACAGAACTTAAACAAAAGATCTGGTACCAAACATTACCTCTTTTTCAGGGCAAGAAAAGGCAATTCTTCCAAAAGCTGCTGCATGATTAACTGCACCCTTGATGCCCTGTAGCTCCAGCTTACACTGAAAAGAAGCAAGAAAGTGGGTTTGATTTATTTTTCAGAAAAAGTTATGTTATGTGGTAAAAAAGAATTCACAGTACTAAAGGAATAAAGTAAAATGAAGTCTCCCTCCTATTCTCACCCCAGAGGCAACCAGTCCGCAGTTTCCTGTGTATATTTCTAGATTAGCGTCTTTTTACACAAATGGTAGCATAATTTACACATTAATTCTGTTCCTTGTTTTTCTCCCATTAATGTCACCACATCGGCACATAATCCCCTCAGTCTTTTTGACAGCTGCATAGTAATCCAGTCTATGGACGAACCATAAATTATTGAACTATTCTGCTAATCCACAGGACATTTATATTCTGTCATATATTTTGCTATTATAAACAATGCTGCAAGAGAATCAATCTTTCCTGGTTCTGTCACTTAATATCTGATGAGTATGTGAAATAAATTCCCAGTAATATGAAAGAGCAAGGAGAGAATCTAGCAAATTTGTCAACTGAGAGGTTGCCTGAGAGTCTATTTTCTTTTATTGTAAATTAAGGAATAGACCTACTGGGTCAAAGTGCAAGAACTAAATCATGCTCAAATGCTGGGTTATTTTTTTAAATAAAAAGGTTAAAATACATGATCATTATAGCACTAAATCTTGTCTATTATCTCTTCTGATTTGGCAATTCCACTTTGAAAAAATACAACCCCCAATATCTAGGTAGTGAAGTTATCAGCGTTTTTTTGTCTTTTTCTGTTTCTATATAAATATTAAATCACTATGAAGAAATTAAGGAAATAACCTTCATGTTAACCTCATTTATAAGCCAAACTCAAATAACAGATCCTTTCTCTCCATGATTACTCACCTGGTTATCAGCATAGCCAAGCAAAGCCCTTTGCTTCTCCTCATCTTTTTCATAAATTTTCATTCCCAGCAGATTAGACCAGTAGTTCAAGGACTTCTGAAGATCAGACACTGCTAGAGTTACTTTTAGTACAGGATCTGTAGGTTAACAAAGCAGCAGGAATGGATAGGTCAGTGTAATGGAGTAGAACAGAAAGACCAAAGGGGGCTCAAGTACTAGTATATATAAGAATTTAGTTTATGATAAGAAAGGGATTTTTAAAAAAATATATTTTATTGATTTTTTTTTTTTTTTTTTTTTTAACACAGAGAGGAAGAGAGAGGGATAGAGAGCTAGAAACATCAATGAGAGAGAATCATCGATCAGCTGCCTCTTTACTCCCCCCACTGGGGATGTGCCCGCAACCAAGGTACATGCCTCTGACCGGAATCGAACCCGGGACCCTTCAGTCCGCAGACCGATGCTCTATCCACTGAGCCAAACCAGTTTCGGCAAGAAAGGGATTTTAAGTCAGCATGAAAGGGCACATTATTCAATGACTAGCTTCTCATTTAGTGGGAAAAAGTTACACCTTTAAAGTAAATGGCAAAATGCCTTCCTGATGGGTTAAAGAATTAAGTTTAATGAATGAAACCATAAAAATACTAGAATCAGGTGAGTATTTATACAATGTCGGAAGAAAGACTTTTTTAAAACTGACACAAGATAAAAAAAACCAAGAAGGAAAAAATTGCTAGGTTAATTACACGAAATAGAAGACTCCTAGACAACAAAAGCAAAAGCAAAAAAAAAAAAAAAAAAAAGGATTATAATAAAAATGAAAGAGTAAACAAAGTTGGCGACTTTTTTTCTAAAACCTAAGACAAAAAGTCTTTATTAGTTATCTTTAAATAGTAGGAAAAAGATGAATATCCTAGAAAAATAGGAATAAGGAACAGAACTAGCATGGTCAATGAACATATGAAAAAATATGCAACCTCACAAATAATCAAAGAAAGCAGAATTCAAATAAAACACTTGGTTATCTAACTGGCAAATAAGTTCACAGCACTGACTGTGATAGTGCAGGGGGGAAATCACAATCGTATAACACTGGGAGAGTATAAACTAGTTTGTTTCTGGGGAACAATTTGACAGATTCTATCCAAAGCTTAAAAAACACACAGGGCTTTTATAAGAACAACTCCATCTTCAGCAATTAAACAAGTAATTGTGGCCCCGCTAGTGTGGTTCAATGGTTGAGTGTTGACCTAAGAACCAGGTCACAGTTTGATTTCCAATAAGGGCACATGCTTGAGTTGCGAGCTCGGTCCCCAGTTGGGGCCATGCAGGAGGCAGCTGATCAATGATTCTCTTTCATCATTGATGTTTCTGTCTCTCTCCCTCTCTCTTCTCTGAAATCAATAAAAATTAAAAACAAAAGAACTGTAGATGCATGAAGGACTTTCATCACAAAGGCACCCATCAGAGTGTTCCTCAGAACAAGGAAACGCTAGGGACAACATAAATATCCAACAATAGAGAACTGTTTATCTTCCTATGACGCAATACAATAGAATCCTTGCAATAAAATATGAATAAAAATATACCTATTAAATTATATATTTTTTTAACTTTGTTTTTGTTGTTGACACTATGAGATGTCTCCATTCCCCACCTCCATACAGCCCCCCCCCTCCTTTCCCTCTGGCCATCACCACACTATTGTCCGGGTCTACCAGTTATGCATACAGTTATTTATTTTTAAATAAAAGATTGGAAAGCTATACTCTAAAATGTTAAGATCTATTTTGTTTTGCAAAAAAGAGCGAAAGTTATATTAAAACATCATTACTGGAAACTTTCAGATTGTAAAGTGACTTTCTCCAGAGCTGTTCCAAGTCTACATCTGCTTATGATAAATTCAATACATTGTCCTTCCTCTTCACTGCCTTGCTCTGGGTTTGCTAGAATAGCAATACCAAGACCCAAGGCAAGGGGTTTCTCACAGGTCTCTCCGCTTGGCAGACTGTTTTAGTTTTCCCATTCATTGAGAAATCAACAGATTCCAGCTGACTCCGAAGGAATGTAGGGGCAGGAAGGGTAAATAAGTGGGTAAAACCACAGATAAGTGATTCAAAGGAAGGGTGGACACAGCTAGACTGATAACCTTTACTATTTTACCAATCAGAAATTAATGCCCTGAAGGGACTATCATTCTTGAGGACAAAAACACGTCTTAGGATTGTGGGGCTTGCCATTAACTTATATATTAAAACATCAAGATTAGAAGGGAAATGTACAGAGGAATAAGTGACAGAGGTTGAATTTTAAAGTTAGTATGTAAAGCAACAATCATCAATAAAAAAAATCCCTTAAATCACGAGTGAAGTACAGAAACACCATCTCTCAGTAAGTCCCATCTCCCACACTGGAACACGTCACGTTCTCCTGCTGAGCTCCAGAGGAAAAGCAAGTAGCACTCAACAAGAGAATCAGACTCAGTGTGAGGGGGTTCTGGACTTGAGGCAGTCCAGCGGAGGAAAGAGAAAGGTCTCCCATCTCAGGTCTACCTGGCATGTATTCACTGAGTGAAATGACAGGCAGAATTGCCCTCACCAGTATTTTTCTTTTGGCAGAGCAGGTGGCAGAATATGCAGGAATGAAATACACATGAGAAGGATGCCTGGGTCATAAATGAAGCACTTCATGCAGTTTCTTTCCTGCTCCCTGGGGCCGTCAGTGTGGGGGCGACTCCTCCCTCCCATTCCTCCCTCCCTCCCTGAGTACCAGCTCTATAGTTTGGGATACCTGCCTCCGCTGGAGAATATGACTAACTGGTCTGAGGATAACCCTGTTCCGCCTACCAATGATTGGTTCACAAGTGGGCATGTGAATAAAATCTGATAAGGAAGCCCAGCCAGAGTGGCTAAGTGGTTGGGTCAACCTATGAACCAGGAGGTCACGGTTTGATTCCTGGCCAGGGCACATGTGCAGATTTCGGGCTCAATCCCTGGTGTGGGGTGTGATTCTCATCATTGATGTTTCTCTCTCTCTCTCCGTCTCCCTTCCTCTCTGAAATAAATAAGAATATATTTTTAAAAACCTGACAAGGAAGTTTGCTGAAAGATTCTAGGAAAGTTTGTTGTCTGCTCTTAAAAGAGAGCACCAGGAAGTCAGTCTCTCCCTCTCCTACCAGGAGAGAACGCAGGAGCCTGTAGCTGTAACTGCTACTGGAACCACCCTCCCACAAGGAGGGGAACTGGCTCTGGGGACAAGAGAATGGAGAGAGAAAATTGGGGTTCTTGTTGCCATTTCTTTTTTACCTTTTAAAAAAATATATATTTTACTGATTTTTTTACAGAGAGGAAGAGAGAGAAACAGAGAGTTAGAAACATCGATGAGAGAGAATCATTGATCAGCTGCCTCCTGCACACCCCCTACTGGGGATGTGCTTGCAACCAAGGTACATGCCCTTGACCGGAATCGAACCTGGGACCTTTCAGTCCGCAGGCCGATGCTCTATCCACTGAGCCAAACCGGTTTCGGCCTTGTTGCCATTTCTGAGCTGCTGAATCAATGAATGCTGAAATCTCCCTACCTATAGAATGCTGGCTTTGTGAGCTAAAAAAAAAAAAAATTATTATTGTTAAAGCTAGTTTGAATTGGGTTTTGTTTTTTGCAGCTTAAACTGCTACATTACCAGTAGAACCAGTCTAGATCCCTTATAAAGATATCATATAAGAATGTAACTTTTCAGCCAGGACCGGTTTGGCTCAATGGATAGAGCGTCGGTTTGGGGACTGAAAGGTTCCGGGTTCGATTCCGGTCAGGGGCATGTACCCTGGTTGCGGGCATATCCCCAGTAGGGGGTGTGCAAGAGGCAGCTGATCGATGACTCTCTCTCATCGATGTTTCTGACTCTCTATCTCTCTCCCTTCCTCTCTGTATAAAATCAATAAAATATATTAAAAAAAAAAAAAAAAGAATAACTTTTCAGAGAACAAATAACAACACCGGCTTGAGAAAGGCATGTCATGTCAATATAGAAAGACTCCCCAGGAGGAAGAAATCCAGCTCCCTCCTCCTTCCATCAAAGGTGCCTTTAGACGGAGGACTTTATAGATTACCTGGCTGAGGTGGACTTCGATCCTGCAGATAGAATTTATATCCTCCTGGGGCCTCGGTTTCAAAAACACCTTCTGCAATTTCAGTGAGCGGCCACTTCAGCTTCTTGGCATTGCTGACAGCCTGGCTAGAAGCGATGGTGATGCCCTATGACAAACAACAATATCATCCAAGTGTCTCATCACAAGAGACCTTTTATAATGGGACAAAACCCATCGCCTTCTTATTGTGGACAAAAAAGTAACCTCACAGGGTGATCTGATCATAAATTTCTAACTGGGCAAGTCACGGTGGGTGTCACAACCCAGGCCCTCAACATTGTTTTTTTTAAAATACTATTTTTATTAATTTCAGAGAAGGAAGTGGGAGAGAGATTTAGAAACATCAATGATGAAAGAAAATCATTGATCGGCTGCCTCCTACACACCCAACACTGGGGACTGAGCCAACAACCAGGGCATACGCCCTGACCAGGATTTGAACCATAACCTCCTGGTTCATAGGTGGATGCTCAACCACTGAGCCACACCGGCCAGGCCAGTTTACTTCTTCAGCCTCAACTCTACCCACTCCCTTCTTCACACACTAAGTTGCAGTCAGACCGTGCTCCTCATAGTTCTGAGTGACACAGTCTCCCTCACCTCTGAGGACACTCATCTCACCCTCCATCCCAACTCCACTCACCTGGCTCAGAGGTCACCTCTGGAAAGCTTTCCTACACCCTCACTGTCCAGGAATAGGCTGGGAATTACTGCTCTGTGTGCCCACATCCCCGGTCCGAACCCCAATCCTAGCACTTATCACACTGCATCCTTGTCTCTTTTCTTGTTTCGAATAAGAGAGACATGAAGAGTGCTAAAGAAAAAAACAAATGCATTAATATGTTGAATCTGAAGTCCTTTCTATTTACAAAACACTTCCTTTCATAGACATTTGATTTTCCTAAAAACGTCCATCTAGATAGCATTGTTATTTTAATGAGTTAACAGCATTAATGAGATCAAATGACCAAAATAACATCTAGCATGAGGTTGACTTGCTCAATAGATTCTGAATGAAAATTAGTTACTCCTATCTTGCTATGTTTTGGTCCCAGTGGCATTCTATTTAGCACATAGAAACTGCTCAATAAATGGTGGGGACTATTACAATGATAGGTGCATAATAACTTGAATTCCTGAATGAATTAATGTATTCTTCTCTTTATCCCCCCAAACCTTCTCAGATTTTTCCTCTAACTGGGACTGACTGTAATAGCCCAGACCAATATTAACAGTCCACTACAGAGAAAGTATTTCTCTGAATGGTGATCAGGGCCTTCCCAGACCAATGACTCTGGTCCTTTACGTCTTGAGGTTCAGTTATTCTTCTAGAGGTGCTTGTCTCCTTCAAACCTGTCTCTAAGTCTTGAGTTTAATTCCAAAATGCAGGAAGAACACATTTCACCCTGAAGCCAGGCTTATCCAAGTGGTTTTGTTTTAAATAGAAATCATAAAAATAATCACTAAACTACATCCACAGGCCATTAATTCATCAGTCATCATAACCTAAGCTGCATCAGTGATCTCAACCACTAGCATGGCTCAATGGTTAGAGCGTCAGCCTGCACCCCAAAGGGTCTCGGGCTTGATTCCCAATCAAGAGCATGTACCTGGGCTGTGGGTTCACTCCCCAGCCTGGGTCAGTGCATGCAGGAGGCAACCAATCGATGTGTTTCTCTCCTACTGATGTTTCTCTCTGTGTCCCACCGTCCCTTCCCTTTTACTCCCTCTGAAAGAGAAATGGAATAAATATTCTCAGGTGAGGATTAACAACAAAAAAGGTATAGCCAAAAGTCTAGAACAAAATGACATTTACCTTAAAGTCGTTGCCAAGCTGGTAGTTTTTGATGCCATAATTGTAAGTCAGTTCTGCAACAAAATGATTATCCTCAGGTCCAAATCCCACCATCGTTTTACTCCATTTCCCATCATAAGGCCTAGAGAAATAGAAGCAAATGGACCCAGTGACCTCAGACAAAACCTTCCTCAGGCCTCCCTCCGAGAATTATTGGGACAGAGAATGGGCACGTCCCTTCCGGTCCTCTAAGTACCCGCTGGGATGGGCTGGCCTCAGCTGGTGCTAAGAGCAGCTGGGAACAGTCTCATGGCCCCATCGCCAAAGGCTCTGAGACCACCCGTTTAGCACTTGAGTTAGAGATTCACTTACCTTTTCTTTAAAGAAGGGGACAGATCATATAAAGGCTGACTTTAATTTATTTTATTGTATTTCCATCAACAAGACACCGAGCCTTGGAATTTTCACTTGCCCTGGCTACTAAGCTTAAGAGATACTTGATAAGACATCGTTTCACCCACAGCATATATTTGTTTATGTTCCTGAATTTACCCAATTCACTGCCTCCTTAGTTTTCTCCTCTGCCTTATACTCGCTTTGAGAAACTGCTTTCTGTTCTCCAGGGGTATTCAGAGCCTAAAGGAAATGTTAAGAAACCAGGTGTCATACCCATTACAGGCAGCTTTGCAGCCCTCTTCAAATTCCTCATGCCGCAGAACCTGGTAAGGGAATTGGGGAAAATTGTAAAGTTTTACTAGTGCTGCATCCAGCATATTTAGCACAGAACTAAACTAATCAAAACACAGACATTATCATTGGCAAGCTTTACTTGTAAAACAAATAGAAGACAATCGGCTTTGTATCTTTTCCAGGCCAGGTGTAGAGATGAGGAAGAACCAAGGGCCAGGTAACCATGCAAAGTTGTGAAATGGATTTAGACTGGGAAGCAGTGCTATGTGGCTGTGTGTTTGTTAAGTGGCCTTCAGCATTAGACAAGTCCGGTTTGGAATTCTATCTCTTAGCAGTTGTGTAACTCTAAGACGGTTGCTTAAGATCGGGGTCTTGGAATATTTTGTGAAAGTGGGTTATTACAGCACAGAACCTCGTACTCAGTAGGCGTTAGTGTCTATTTTCCTTTTTGATTCTCACTGTTATTGCTCCAGTTCAAGTTCCCATCACTTCACTTACAGACTACTTATTGATCCCCTTCCTTAATACCACTGTGGGCAAAAAAAAAGGGGGGAGTGTGTGAAGAAGGGTTCTATAATAAATGTCAAATCCAGTAACTATAAATAATCTCACAGGGTGATCTGATCACAATTTCTACCTGGGCAGGCCACGGTGGGTAGTCCTATCCCAGGCATAGAACATCTTTAGTAAATTATTTTTGCAAGCCCTATCCATTTTTCTGTGCAATCGAGGTTAACACACTTTGAAATGCCTCTTTTTCATACCCTTCAGAAACATGACCACCCTGGAGAGCACATCGTTTGACATGCTTGCACCTTGCTCTCTCCCATCTTCAGTTACTCTTCCTTCTGTTCCCTCCTTAATTCCAAATGTATCAGAGAAACTGCAAACTGTCATTCTCTGAGCATCTGAGATCCTCCTTCCCAGCCCTGTGTCAGTCAAATAAACTCTTTGGATAGAGCGTCGACTTGGGGACTGAAGGGTCACGGGTTCGATTCCGGTCAAGGGCATGTACCTTGGTTGCGGACATATCCCCAGTAGGGGGTGTGCAGGAGGCAGCTCATGGATGACTCTCTCTCATTGATGTTTCTAACTCTCTATCCCTCTCTCTTCCTCTCTGTACAAAATCAATAAAATATATTTTTAAAAAAAACACAAAAACAAAAAACATTCAAACCACCCCGGGGGAGAAACAGAGCTCTGACTATGCTGATGCTCTAAACCGAAAGGCTCCAACCCGGAAGAGACGGATTCCTGTTAGCGGGAACTTCTGTTCCGTCGGTCCCACCAGCGGGAAAGCTCCACCAGGGCCGGAGGCGCAGCACGCGTTTGTGGATGAATGTAAATGAAAGAACGTGTGTGGGCACGTAGTCGGCAACAGATAGAATGCGAGGCCCCCTTCCAAGGCCATCTAGCTACCCAAGCAGGACCTCCTGGAGCTGGAAACCCGACGGGGCGAAGGGAAGGCCGGGGCTAAGGTCGGGCGCCGCGTGGGGCTGACCTCTCGGCCAGGTGTGGCTCAGCCGCCCGCACCCCCCGCGCCCCCGCGCCCCCCGCGCGCCAGCCCCTCTCGCCCGCGTCAGCACCTCCATCCCCAGGACGTCACGATAGAAACGCGCCGTCTGGAAGCGGTTTCCCACTTTGAATACGAAGTGCAGAGCTCGGCGAGTAGCCATGACCACCGGAAGCGGCACACCAGTCCGGTGCACGGTGCCTCCCCGCCCACTGACGCCGCGGACGGGACGGTGACGTCACCGCGCGCGCGCCGGCGCACGTTCGTGACGCAGCGCCCCGGCGCCGGGGAAGATGGCGCTCCTGGTGAAGGGCGTGGGGTGGGCCCCACGGCCGCTGCTGCCGGTGGTCCAGACTTGGGACCTGGACGCCCGGCGCTGGGTCCGGGCGCTGCGGCGGAGCCCCGTGAAAGTGCTGTTTCCGTCCGGACAGGTGCTGGACCGGAAGCCCGGGAAGCAGCCCCGGAAGGCGGCGGCCGAGGCCAGTCCCCACGTGCAGCGACCGAAGCAGCCGCCTCCGGAGTCCCCAGCCCAGACGCCCAGCACTTGGGAGGAGTCGGGGCTCCGCTACGATAAGGCCTTCCCCGGGGACAAAAGGCTGAGGTGACGTGTTCCTGAACCGTGCGGACGGAGTGGTCCCGTTACGCAAGGAGGGCAGAACTAGTATCCCGCTCAGCGAAGGCTAGGACTAGGTGTGTCTCCGTGTCGGGGATGCTTGGGTGTGACCAGTCTTTTTGTTTCCACCCACAGCAGCGTGATGACAGTAGTCAAGTCCAGGACATTTCGGGAAAAGCAAGGGAAGATCCTGCTGGAAGGTCGCAGGCTGATTGCAGACGCCCTCAAGGCTGGTGCTGTGCCCAAAACGTTCTTCTTCAGCCGCCTGGACTACCTAAAGGAGCTGCCCCTCGATAAGCTGAAAGGTGTCAGCCTCATTAAGGTGAAATTTGAGGATATCAAGGAATGGTCCGACCTAGTGACACCACAAGGAATAATGGGTCAGTGGTTACACAGTGTGTCACTCCCTAGAGACCTAGGATTGTTTGGATTATTTGTTTATACTTGTTTTAGGAGAACACATTTTATTTAAACCAAACTCAAAATGTTAATTGCCTAATCTTTTCTTAAAATGCCCAGAAAAGTATAGTCCTCAAATCTTATATAGATCGTGCATGTTAGTGTAAAATGAAGCCATCATTTGTATTACGTCTCTTTATTCTTCACGCCTTATTTTTTTAAATTATATTTTTTATTGATTTTTTACAGAGAGGAAGGGAGAGGGATAGAGAGCTAGAAACATCGATGAGAGAGTTACATCCATCAGCTTCCTCCTACATACCCCCTACTGGGGATGTGCCTGCAACCAAGGTACATGCCCTTGACTGGAATCAAACCTGGGACCTTTCAGTCCGCAGGCTGACGCTCTATCCACTGAGCCAAACCGGTTTTGGCACGCCTTATTTTTTTTTCAATTTTTTTAGGTCATTTCTTCAAGCTTTAATATACATCTAAAACTTAGGAAAATGTAGATTTAGCCATCCATTTCCCCAAAACCTCTGCCCGTGTGGTGATACCTATCGTGACTCCCTTTTTCTAGAAGCAGGTCTGAGCTACCATTTATTGCCCTGTTTAGCCCATTGAACAGGAAGCCTTGTCTTTATTGGTTGCAGTTAACTTAAGGTTTTATGTAACTGTGATTCATTGATAAGGGTAGGTACAGGTATGTACCAATATGTGTTCTTGGTGTGAATAAACTGGAAGAGCTTGTGGGATGGGCAGGCAGCATCAATTAACATTAATGGTGTACACACACCATTTATTCGTTTCACTTATAAGGGTGTTTTTCCTAGGGAAATGTTCAGACATATGCACAAAGAGGCATACAGGGATGTTAATGCAGGGTTGTTTATAATAGGGGAAACTGGAAATATTCTAAACGTCAGCCGTTGAGGAAGATTTAAATAAACATAGTACATTCGATTACAAAATAAGCAGCAGCACTTAAATGAATAAGATAGTTCCAAATGTACTGACATGGTAAGTTCTCAAAGACATGTTGTAGACTTAGTAGATTACAGAATAATCCAGAGTATGATTTAAAAAAAATAAAAATAAAAGCACCTATATGTGGGTAGATGTACATGTATGTATGTAGGTAGCTGCATGGAACAAGTTCTGAAATATACAATATACTCCCAAGATTGAATGCACTTATGCAGGGGGTCACTGGTGGGACTTTCTCTTTGAATTTTTCCAACCAGAATGTGTTCACGTAATTAAGATAGGCAGAGAGAAATAAATGAAAAGGCTAATTATGCCCCATGCCTACATTAGACAAGTGAACTGCCTGTTTTGTTTCCTCAGGGATTTTTGCCAAACCTGATCATGTTAAGATGACATTCCCAGCGACGCAGCTTCACCATTCACTGCCCTTATTGTTGATTTGTGACAATCTCCGAGACCCTGGGAACCTGGGGACGATTCTGAGATCTGCTGCTGGGGCAGGTTGCAGCAAAGTACTGCTCACCAAAGGTAAGAGCGCCTGTGACTAGGTGGCCATTTGTGAGTGAGCTGGCTCTGGGCAGACATGCCTGGATTTGAATCTTGGACCTGCCCCTTATTAGCTACATGTCTGTGAGCGAAATTGTGTGTATCAGTTTCCTCATCTATAATGTGGGTATGTTAACAGAATCTACATGGAAGATTGTTTTGAGGATCAAGTGACATAATGCACAGACAGTAGTTATTTGCACTTAGCAAGTCAGTAAAATGTAGATTATCTTTTAAAATTATTTTGACACCTGTTAGGTTACTAAAGAAAAAACTTAAAATCTTTCGGGGAAAGAAGTAGGTGCTAGTCTTAACTTTTGGTTTCAAGTCTTTTATTTAATGATCTTGAGTTCCCAAATTGTTGGGTATATGAGACCATTCTAATTCTCTGACACTCTGAATCCTGTGAAAGGAAATTATTTCAGCAGATGCGATTATGAAATTGTGCTACATTTCCCTTAGCCTCAGAGGTCAAACGCCCCACAACACAAATTAGCCTCTTTACATTTTTTACTGTCTCCTCTCTTTGGAAATGGGGATTAGTAAGCTTGGTTCTAAACAGACTTTCGTTAACAGTTGGGACAAGCCTAATATGCCTGTTACAGCTTAAGGGAGGATGGGAGGGAGAGGATCATTCATCAGAAACACTAAAGTTACCTTCCACTGTAAACTAACATTGGTACCCACTGCTGAGACTTGTCTAAATTCCTCTTAACTTTCCCCCAGTCACACATCGCAGTGCATTTCTCTGCCAGCGTGAGAGCTAGGTGCTGGGCTCCGTCATCAGTACCCACTTACCTGCCCCATCGGTGAGAGCTCTGAGAGTAGGTGTGGTTTTGGAAACGTTCCTATCTAACCCAAGTGATGTTTTCAGTGATGCTGGTGGCTGGTATGAGTGGTGGAGAAAGCGTGGGGAACACTTGGTGTAGTGCCTGGTATTGAGGACATGAGGATGGAGGAAATCTCATCTTGCCCTCTACTCCCCCAGCAGATAGAGGGGTCACACTAGATGGCTCTCCTCATGAATCTGGGCCCTTCTTTTTAAAAGAACTTGTAACGAGGAGACTTGTGCTAATGAGGAGGTTGGTAGGTTTGTGGTGTCCTGGTCCTGCTGTCTCTTCCAGCCTGTGGTCCTAGGAAATACATAGAAGTGGTTATGTACATACACGTGCCTGTCCATAAGAGAGTAGATCATTAGCCTGTGCAGGACAAGGCTGTTCCTTTGGTTCTCCCGGATCACTGTAATTGCCTCCAATCTCTAGCACCTTCCCTGCTCCAGTCAGATTCAGCATTGACACCAAATGGCTATTTCTAACACATAAACCAGATCCTGTCACTACTTTGTTTAAAACTCTTCAATGTCATTTGTCCTCTGGATAAAATCCTGAACTCCTCATACCCAGCATACCCTGCTTCCTTTAAATTGGTCCTTACCTGCCTCCTGTCCTATCTCCCACCACACCTACCCATTAGTTTTCCTAATCCACCTCATTGAGTGTTTGGACTGTGGCACTCTGCCCCCTTCTGTAGCTGTGACCTCTCTCTGGGCCTTTCTCCGATAAGATCCTCCTGTTGTTCAACATCCAGCTCAGTATCATGTCTCAGGGGTGTTTTTCCTGATAGTCTTGCTTTGTGCGAGGGTTTTTTTCTGTTCCCCTTTTCATGCTGCCTCTGTATCAGCTTGTTGAGGTCGTGGGCTTTAAATGCTCTCACATCTGTCATCTAGTGTGAAATGTTGAAGGGCTGAATAAAGTCTGTTTTGGCACTAGCCGGAATTCCTCCTACAGTCCCATTGCTGGTAACGCCATACGGGGGAAGCAGCGGTGCCAGCCATCAAGAACCTACAGTAGGAGATTTTTCGCTTTATCTCCAGATCCAGAATTAACCTGGTTTACCGGAGAGTTCCGTCTGGGAAGGCTGTAATCTTAATCAGAGCCTCTTTTATTTTCTAGGCTGCGTGGATGCCTGGGAACCCAAAGTGCTGCGGGCAGGCATGGGTGCGCACTTCCTGGTGCCCATCGTCAACAACCTGGACTGGGAAGCAGTGCCCAACTACTTGCCCGATGACACCCGGGTCTACGTGGCAGACAACTGTGGCTTTCATGACCAGACCCAGCAATCTAATAAAGCCAGTGACCATGGCTGGATCTGTGACCAACAACTCTCGAAGCTTCACAAGTATGAGGAAGAGGAAGATGAGGATCTAGGAACTGGAGCCAGTAAAGACTGCCTCCCTAAACTTGAGGTCCAGAGTTACGATTTGGACTGGGCAGAGGCACCAACAGCTGTGGTCATAGGTGGGGAGACCCATGGCCTGAGCCTGGAGTCCCTGCAGTTGGCTGAGAGCACCGGGGGCAGGAGGCTGCTGATCCCCGTGGTACCCGGCGTGGACAGCCTGAACTCGGCCATGGCTGCCAGCATCCTGCTCTTTGAAGGGAGAAGACAGCTGCGGCTGAGGGCGGAGCACGTGAGCAGGGACGGAAGTTAGTTTCCCCTGGAAGGAGACGTGGAAGTCGTCCTTGGTTTGAGGTTGTCTCTAGCTCTCCTGCATTGGCAGGCCGGCGGAGTTGGTCATTATGGCTCCCAGCAGGTCTGCATAACACTGTTGGGTGGTTATT